CGTCACCAAGAGGAACTGCCTCCAGCCATCTAGTCAATCTGTCAACGCAAGTGAGGATGTACCTGTATCCATTAGAGTAAGGCAAAGGACCAACAAGATCAACATGAACATGGTCGAATCCAGAGGTAACCTATTTGAAGGGCATAGCAGAAACTGTATGGCGAGTTACCACTTAATGCAAGAATGTGTCCAGTTTTTTTTTACATCTTTGTTGATACCAGTCCAGATGAATCTTGAGATCAGAAGATGCTGTGATACATGCACACCAGGATGGGATTTGTCATGAAGTTGCTTGAAGACGGTATGTCGATATTTCTGATGTAAATATGGACGCATGATGTCTGTAGAAACACCAGCATACAGGTCTACAGGGCAACAAGCCAGCCGATAACGCGAAGAGGGTCATCATGATGCCGCAACGCGAAGCGGGTCACCATGATGCCCTGAGCCCAGCGGGTGGCGTTAAGCCAGCCGACAGTGCAAGGGAGTCACCGTGATCACGGAAATTATACCGAGGGTGATTTTAAAGAGATTGACTGGAGCCACCCCTCGGCAAACAACACCACCTCGGCTCTCACGCGTTACCGCGACGCTTCGGCGTCCACCCCTCGTTGCTGCTGCGACGCTATTTGCTTGCTCTGCATTTAGCTTCGTGCCCTATAGCCTATGCTCTCCTTTACGGATTTTTCGGCATTAGGATAACACTGTGCACCTTCTGGTGAACTGGACCCCCATCTTCGGGCACGTGCTCGGACGTGAGCAGACCTTTACCTCCCGCAGGGGAGGGTGTGTCTGGGGGGCCTTAGCGTGCCTGCCTTACAGTGCACAGAGACTTTTCTTTTTGCTAGGGTCTGGTCTAGCAGACCATCTGATGACTGCCACTCTAGTTTTTCGTTTAGGATGATAGGCAGGTAGGAGCCCCTCCCTTTGTCATAAATTCTGTCAAAATAGCTGCTGCTAGACAGAACACTGCCTTCCCGTCCCGCCACTGGAACCGCCTCGAAAGTTAGCTTCTCTTCCTCACTGTGGGAAAGCAGCCTTTGGGTGGCTGCTTCTGAGGGCTGTAGAAACTTCCTTGAAAAGGTGCAGGACTCTTGCTTTCTCACTGTGGTGAAACAGCCTTTGGGTGGCTGTTTCAGAGGAAAGAGGAATTCACTTTGAAAAGGTTCAGGCCCTCTCCTCCCTCACTGTGTTGAAACAGCCTTTGGGTGGCTGTCTCAGAGGAAAGAGGAATTCACTTTGAAAAGGTTCGGGCCCTCTCCTCCCTCACTGTGTTGAAACAGCCTTTGGGTGGCTGTCTCAGAGGAAAGAGGAATTCACTTTGAAAAGGTTCAGGCCCTCTCCTCCCTCACTGTGTTGAAACAGCCTTTGGGTGGCTGTTTCAGAGGGATGAGAGGAACTGCCTGGTAAAAGTGAAAGAGCTCCCTTCCCTCACTGAGGTGAGACAGCCTTTGGGTGGTTGTTTCAGAGGGAATCACTTTGAAAAGGTACAGGCCCTCCCCTTCCTCACTGTGGTGAAACAGCCTTTGGGTGGTTGTTTCAGAGGAAAGAGAGGAACCTCCTGGTAAAAGTGCAAGAGCTACATTCCTCACTGAGGAGAAGCAACTTTTGGGTAACTTTCTGAGGGATGAGCAAAAGGGTTCCAAACAATGATGTTCAGTAGGTGGAAGAACATCCCCTGTGGTCTCTCCCCAGGGGTTCACACGCTCCTACAGTGCCTTTGTCTAGCTGCTGCTAGACAGAACACTACCTTCCCGTCCCGCCACTGGAACCACCTTGAAAGTTAGCTTCTCTCCCTCACTGTGGGAAAGCAGCCTTTGGGCTGAAAAAACTTCCCTGAAAAGGTGCAGGTCTTCTCTTCCCTCACTGCGGTGAAAAAGTGAAAAATTCCCTCTTCCCTCTGAAACAGCCATCCAAAGGCTCTTTGGATGGCTGTTTCAGAGGGAAGAGGGAATCACTTTGAAAGGTACAGGGCCTCTCCTCCCTCACTGTGGTGAAACAACCTTTGGGTGGTTGTTTCAGAGGAAAGAGAGGAACCTCCTGGTAAAAGTGCAAGAGCTCCATCCCTCACTGAGGTAAAGCACCCTTTGGGTGGCTGCTTCAGAGGGACGAGCACTAGGGTTCCAAACAATGATGTCCTGTAGGTGGAAGGACATCCCCTCTGGTCTCTCCCCAGGGGTTTACACCTACCCACGCGTTTGCCGTGCGTGGCAGCCTTGTGGGCTGTGGAGACGGGAGTCCTGGAGGTTGAGCGATGCCGTGAACGAGTACGCCCTGCGGCTAGCAACACGCCTCTTTGGTCCTCTATTCCAGCAAGACAGGTGGCCTAATCCCGGCCCGGTCACGGTCAATCGACTGGTCTCCCACAGGAGGCTAGGGCCAAGCAGTCATGCTACCATTGGCACTCACAATGGTCCGTGAGCGTCGTTACAATGGTTATTGGCTACGTATATCCTCTCATCACCCCTGTGGCTGGTTCTGATACTCGGCTTCCCATTGT